TATGTCATGAGAGGATATTTAATAAGTAGCAACAGGAATTACTGCTCTATAGTAAAGGTATATAATCATTTATTTTACAGTCTCAGAAGCTTACAGAACTAATGAAAGCAAAAGTGACATCACATATAGGTGGATATAGGAAAATGCTCTGTAGCTGCAGTGAGTAAAATGGGAATTAAATGTGATACCTGGACAGCTAAGGTGCAGTATTAATTTTTAAATTATTAAATCGGATGTAATGATGGAACCATTAGGAAAGATGTCAGAACATCACTTTTCATCTTGGAAATAGATTCTCTAAAGCACTTTCAGGAAATGCTGAAAAGAAAAAGAAATCTGAGAAGAAATATTTGCAATTTAAAGTGATAAAACTCCTTACCAAAACCCACAGGCAAATGGCATTAGCTATGTCCAACCTCAAATGGAAAGCTGAAACATTTAGACTGCATAAACTTAGAATGATACAAAGTTTTTCCTTCAGCTGGAGGAATGTTCAAAATTACCCTCAAAGTTAATTGATCCTAATTATCGAATATAATGGCTTGATATATGGATATTCAAATATGGGGCTTAAAGATTAATAAAGAAATTACCTGGAAATGCTGGGCTGCAATGACCTGAATTTGTAGATTTTATTTAAAAAGCAAAAACAAAACAAAAAAGAAACTCAAGAGCTTCCTTAGTCAGTGTCAAGCCAGGGGCTCCAGTGCCAGGCGTGTGCCAGCCCGGGTACAGGCAGGGCAGGAATGGCTGGGGCTGCTACTTGCTCTTTTCTCTTGCTTAACTGGAAAAGCATCCCCTGAGTTGTATCTATCTCCTTCCAAGAGCACTTCTTCTATGTCAAAGAGTAGTTGTTTAATCTTTTCTTCCTCTGGAATGTTTTTCTCTTTTTGTTGACACAACAGCACAAACACAGACTGGGCAGAGAATGGATTGAGAGCAGCCCTGAGGAGAAGGACTTGGGGGTGTTGGTGGATGAGAACCTCAACATGAGCCAGTAACAAGCCTACAGGCAGGGCAGGAATGGCTGGGGCTGCTACTTGCTCTTTTCTCTTGCTTAACTGGAAAAGCATCCCCTGAGTTGTATCTATCTCCTTCCAAGAGCACTTCTTCTATGTCAAAGAGTAGTTGTTTAATCTTTTCTTCCTCTGGAATGTTTTTTTCTTTTTGTTGACACAACAGCACAAACACAGACTGGGCAGAGAATGGATTGAGAGCAGCCCTGAGGAGAAGGACTTGGGGGTGTTGGTGGATGAGAACCTCAACATGAGCCAGTAACAAGCCCTGGCAGCCCAGAAACCCCCCGCATCCTGGGGGGTTTGAAACCATGTGGATGGCAAGTCATTTGAAATTACATTTCCTTGCATTTTCCAGGATAATTATTCTGTCTCTGCTAAATCTCAAGGGAAAACTTTCCAGGAATTAATATTCCTTTGCATTAGCCTTTGTAATGTGAAAGGCAATATTTAGGTCCTTCCTAAGGGATGAAAAGAAGCAGTTGTAATGGAGATGAGAGCAAAATAAAACCTCCCACAGATTCAGAGGAGGCAGTCTCCCAGAATCTCTGGCATTGTGTTAGTAGATTTCCTTTGAGTCTTTGCTTGAGCCTGGAGCTCAGGACAGATCTGTTGATGCTGGGAAGTGTCTTCCCCCTGTGAGAGGACGTTATTGTGGCATTGAGGGTTTGAAGAGCCAGCACATCTCCAGCTTCTTCTCCCAAAGAAAACAGTGAAAGCTCTGCGTTTGGAGCCTGATTTGTGCATGGCCCTCAGCGTAAATTGCAAGTGGATATGAGCTGAATGTGAATAAATGATTTGCTCTGGCAGCCCAGAAACCCCCCGCATCCTGGGGGGTTTGAAACCATGTGGATGGCAAGTCCTTTGAAATTACATTTCCTTGCATTTTCCAGGATAATTATTCTGTCTCTGCTAAATCTCAAGGGAAAACTTTCCAGGAATTAATATTCCTTTGCATTAGCCTTTGTAATGTGAAAGGCAATATTTAGGTCCTTCCTAAGGGATGAAAAGAAGCAGTTGTAATGGAGATGAGAGCAAAATAAAACCTCCCACAGATTCAGAGGAGGCAGTCTCCCAGAATCTCTGGCATTGTGTTAGTAGATTTCCTTTGAGTCTTTGCTTGAGCCTGGAGCTCAGGACAGATCTGTTGATGCTGGGAAGTGTCTTCCCCCTGTGAGAGGACGTTATTGTGGCATTGAGGGTTTGAAGAGCCAGCACATCTCCAGCTTCTTCTCCCAAAGAAAACAGTGAAAGCTCTGCGTTTGGAGCCTGATTTGTGCATGGCCCTCAGCGTAAATTGCAAGTGGTTATGAGCTGAACATGAATAAATGATTTGCCTCATCCAGCTCTACCAGCCTTTCTGAGAGGATGGTGTTAATCTGCAGAGACTGGGGGGTGGGGGGGAGGAAGGGGGATGGGAACCATAGACACAGCACAAAGTAATCGTGTTGGTTAAATCAGAAATTATTCGGTGTCTGAGAATTTTGAGCTCTTCTAGGGTCTCTTCTGCTTTTCTACAGCAGAGATTTAACACCTGTAAGGAAGCAGAAGTGCCCTTAAGAGGCCTAATCTGTGCACTGGAGTGGAATTTAATCTTCAATTTAAATCTCTGTCTAGAGATCACAGGGAGAAGACAGAAGATATTACTGTTGGTTTCAGAGAGTGCTTACCTGCGTCTGAGGATTGAAGTTATGTCATTGTTATTAAAGCGCAGTTAATGATTAAACCCTGTGAGTCAGGAGAAGAACACATTTGGGGACCAAGAGTTTGGACTTTACATGGACAATGAAAGACTTCAGCTCTGTGAGGACTACCAGCAATTGCCTCTGCAGGGTGTGCCTCTTGGGTGGTCTTCAGGACGAGTCTGAGACCTCCAGAGACCTTTCTGTGGGAGCTCCAGGTGGGCAAGGGTGCTCAGGGAGCAGCAAGAGGGACCCTCACACTACCAGTTCCCACCCCAACCTTGGTTTCACACCAACTGTTAAACCTGCTCAAGATGCCAAGGAAAGGCTAAATTTAAGTAGGACCATGTATATTAAGACTAAACATCTGCGATAAGACTAAACGACAGGTATTCCACTTGTGTTGCTCATGTTGCAGTGAAGTAATAGTCTGTTGCTCTTGACTTTGTGGTTGTTTTCCAAAAATGAGCAGGACTGATCAGGTCACGTCATTGCAATGACATTACAGGCTTGACTTTTGCAACAATGAAGTGAAACAGACTTTTTACAATGTTGACTTTTATATGAAAAAATAGCTCACACCATGTAATTTATCATAATCACATTTCATTAACAGTAAATTTAACAAAATCACAATATACATATATAGTATGTATTTATTTATGTATGTCACTTTGTATTAACCATTAACTCTATGTAATAAAAATATATTACAACATTTGACATGTATTCACAAAGCACAAGCCATTGTAAACAGAATAGACAGCACAGGCCCCCTTATTCAAAAATTTGAAGTCAGGATTAAAGTGTATTTTATTGTATTCCTTTAAACTGGATGCACTAATATAACAGAATTTTATGTGTCTGCCTTTGCATGAATTAATCTTTATCTCTGAAATATCTATTGGGAGACTGTTGCAGTTTAGCTTATCTGGGAACCTAAAGTCCATGTTAACCCATGGCACTCATGAGCATGTTAGCATTGCAAATTGGTCTGTGCATCTCTCTGTCTATGCAATTTAGAAAGATTTATATTGCCATTTTTTCCTAAATAAATAGCCCCTGCAACTACATCCCATTGTTATACAAAAAAGTAGAATGCAATAAATTATAATGGTATATTTATAATAATATAATCAAAACATGCCCTATCTACAGCAGCTATTATTAATGTTATTTCAGAACTATCTTTCTTCAGCCTGGCTAGGTGCTTTTAGAAATAGAAAACCATCTATTTTCATCATTTGCAAAACAAAAGAAAAAAGTTTAAATACACAGGCCAGATCTTTTATACCTCTCATGATATGAATGGTCCTTCTCAGGCAACCCCACTGTCCTTACAGCAAGGATTTGTAAAACCAGCCCCTAACACATTTTTTTTAAGCAAATAATCATCTAATAATCTAATCTAGGGAAAAATGTTTCTATCTAACTGCATCTGGAAAAACTGGTAATACATTACATTCCTGCAAGAATTCAGAAGGGAATGATTAGTGCTTGCCAAATATATGGGATTTTTTTAATCCTAAAATGACCTTAAGAAAATAAAAACACTGTGAAGGAATATATCTAAGGTTTAGAAAAATGCCCTGTGTATAAATAAAGGTAAATCAAGGCACCTTTTAGTTATCTATTTCTATTTTCCAAGGCAATCTGTGATAATGATTTTTCAAACATCTTATCTGGGAAGCCCTATGGTTTCTGTTAGAAAAAGACCCATTCTTTACCCTGGCTGATGCAGGTAGGTTAATTTGACTTGGATGAGGTTGGGCTGGATGACAGAGCACAGAGAGCTTGTCCACAGCCTTGTCACATGTTTGTTGTGTGACCCTAAGGACACTGAGTGTTTTACTGAAATTTTCTTGGTAACAAAAGTCATTTAATTCATAAGACTTTTTAAATTTTTGTCTCTGTAGCTGTACTGAAATTTTCTTGGTAACAAAAGTCATTCAATTCATAAGACTTTAATTTTTTGTCTCTGTAGCTAATTGATCACTTTGGCAAGGCAGGAGGAGCAGAAATTACCTGTCTTTGTGCAAGCATTTTGTTGTCAGAGTGGTGGGAATGTAGACCATTTTGATACATAACAGGGTTTTTTTATTGTTTTGTTTTGTTCACAGACTCAAGCTAGTGAAATATAAAAAAAACAGGAGTACCTGTGATGGCCAACAGCAGGAAGGCTATGGCCAACTTTGCACCCTGGGCCATGTTGCGTTCCCACTAGTATTTCACTAGCATCTCACTGGCATGTCATTTGAAAGCAGGTTTGTTTTTTTTTTTCCTTGGGAATCACAGGGTTTTTTTATTGTTTTGTTTTGTTCACAGACTCAAGCTAGTGAAATATAAAAAAAACAGGAGTACCTGTGATGGCCAACAGCAGGAAGGCTATGGCCAACTTTGCACCCTGGGCCATGTTGCGTTCCCACTAGTATTTCACTAGCATCTCACTGGCATGTCACTTGAAAGCAGTTTTTCTTTTTCCTTGGGAGCTCTTGTTGGATCAAATCCCAGGAGGACGGAGGCTTTCAGTTTTTTGCTATTTGTATGATTTTTAAAAAATATTTGCTTTGAAGCTCCGATTGTACAACTACAGTGACTAGAAAACAGTTTTCTAGAATTCAGTAGTAACTCCAAATGGAGATCTTTTTCCTAATATATCCTTGTAGATTATTAATCAACCATGTGGACTTGTGCCTTTGGGTACATTGAAACCATGTGCAATAGTATTTCTTCAACCAAAAAATTGTATTTTGCTACACAATTACTGCACATGCGTGCTGTCATACACCTGATGCATTTGCTTCTCGATACATGCATTTCTGAAGTGCACTTACAGTCTATAGGGCAAACCATCTTTCTTAGAAATATAGACATTTATGATAAATTATAGCAGCCTCTCTAGTTCATTAGATCAGCATTATTTGCTTAAAAACCAACAACCCTAAATACATATTTACATGATACACAGCAGGACTACAGGTAAGGAGTAGACATTTTACAAAGACTGCAGCAGCTCTTTTCTCCATGTAAACTTTTATAACCTCCCAAAAGGGACAGCTGCCTTTTTTGAGCAGGATGGTTTTCATAAAGAAGGTTTTTGATATACTTACTGAAAGCATTAAAACCATGTAAACTTTTATAACCTCCCAAAAGGGACAGCTGCCTTTTTCGAGCAGGATGGTTTTCATAAAGGTTTTTGATATACTTACTGAAAGCTGAAAGCATTAAAAGCAAATTGGAAAAAAAAAAAAAAAAAAAGGTTTAAGGCTAAAATTTTATTGTTCTCACTTATTCAGGCTTGGGTTACAAAGATATAATCCCTGATTCTGCAAACACAGAAGCCTGTGCTTAGCCCTAAGTATCCAGGGCTACCTGCTGAAGCAAACACATAGTGACCATGGGATCAGGATCTAACTGAGCTTTCTGTGCTGGATGTGATGTGCTGAAATATTTAGTAATTATTAGGGTCAAGCGATAATGAATGTCACACACATAGGTGTGAAGTCTCTGGCTTTGCTTTTAGGCTTCATTTCATCACAAGAACATTTAATGTGAGGAGAAGACAGCTCTAACTAGTGAAAAGCAACTAATTTCCAAAGGGTAGTTTCAAAAATATTCACTGCTCATGTAAAAATGTATGGGATAATATAGTCAGAGCTCTCAGAGCCTTCTTCATTTAGGATTAAGTGGGGTAAGGAATCTATGAATCTCAGGACATGCAGGTCCAGAAAAAAATTACTTTCTGCAAGCTACCTAGATCTCCTCTTCTGTTTCCTAAGGTAAGGCTCATCCAGGTGTAGGTGGTTTCTGGTAATTCAAACAATGTCAGTAGGTCCCATATAGCCCATCTGAAAAGCATTAGAGTCTTCTCAACCCAACAAGGATCTTCCTACGGAGGCTGTGCTGCTTTGACAGAGAGTTCACCTTTCTCTTTGGGGTAAGTGGATGTCTGAGGGACCTGGGGAGGTCCCACTGTGGAAACAGGTCACTAGGAAATGCCCACTGCAGCCAGGGTAACACACCATTGCAACAGCAGCAAAGTCAGTTTATAACTTCCATCCTTCCTGACCATCAGCCTTCCATTTACTTCTATTTCTGCCTGAGTTTTGTAACCTCTGAAGTTGCTCTGATGCAGCTGGTTTTGTAAATAAGTCTAAGATGTCCTTCCAAAATTATTTAAAAAAAAAAAAATATTTCCAGGAAGATAGTAATGTTGACTTGAAGCAGAGAAAACAGATGGATGGGCAAAATTGAGACAGCAAACTACTGCAGAAGGCGGTGATGTGCCTACTGGGGGCTGGACAAGATGATCTCCAGCGGTCCCTTCTGCTCTCAGCTGGTCTGTGATGCTGTGATATGTGCGGCTACTGCTGCAACAGTCCTCAGCTTTCATAAGGATTTGTCTGGAACTTTCTTAATAACTAGATTTGATTGTTTTCTGAGATAAGAGAGGTTATAAAAAGTCTGATTAAGGGCCACTGGAAGCAGGTTGTTGGGGTATTTTACCCAAAGAGTAAAAACAGGGATGGAACTTATTTAGAGAAGAATGGTGTGGTTGCCAGACATTGCAAGCGGGCACACAGGCCATGAGGAACTCACTAAATCCTGTTTACATCTTTCCATTTGTAAATATCATGAAAAAGGGTCCCTACACATTTAGAAGACAGATCTTTAAAACCTGGTTATACTTATCTAATGGGACTTGATCCTCAGGTGAAACAACCATTATGTTGATTTATGTGAGGAGAGGGCCTGATACTTGTTATTTACTCAATAAACTCTTATCAGTCTTTCATAATTTTTGATGAATGCAATTACTCAAATCTTCACATCCAAACTGGCTCAAAACCATAACAAACCAGGATCCCAGTTCACAGTTAGGGCTCTGAGATTATATAAATAACTGTAAAATGAACAGAGGAAAAAGCTCAGAATCCACAAAACAACATAGTGGACCAAATTCTCTTAATCATCTGCCAACGTTCTGCCTGCCAAATTTACAAGATATGAAGAAAATGTTAATTGAACATGCGTGTGAGAAATAGATATTGCATATGGATCGCAGATACCAACAAACAGAAAACTGCATATTGCCTAAGCAACTGCACAATTTTTGCACATGCAGTTCCATATTTTGGGCACATGTTGTAGCCATATTTTACAAACTTTTTTCAAAAATATTTAAATAGCAAATGGAAAATCCCACCCCCCCCCACGCACACACACACACGCATTTGTGTTAGACAAGAGAACAGTTCCGCTTCATGATCAGAGATAATAAAGCATTGTGCATTACGTTTACCATCATTATTCTAACTCACTCAAGTGAAAGTGTTGTTATAGTACATATAATACTCAGCAGACAAATAGTTACTCATATCTACATTCATCACTGAGACAGACATTTTAGAAAATGTTGCCGGTTGCCGCTAAGAATTCAGCTGAATATCTAGCACTTAACGAGCCACAGTATCATATTTCTAGTATCTTACAAAACGTCGTCAGGAAACGTAAGGGTGTTACTTTTATTCTGTATAACTGAGTCCGTTTGTCAAGCACCAGCATTTACAACTCTCGCTTGCTTCAGATGGTAGAAATATGACAATGTGTCAGAAAGCTGATGTAAGGAAGGGGAAATTATATTTATTCTCTGTTATAAGATCAATTCTAGAAGGCACCATGAAAGAAAGACAGATTTTTAAACACATACAAGGGGAGAGATTTATTGCTCATGGTGACACATAAATCAACCAGGGACTGACTGTGATGCACAAGCATAATGAGACAAGTCCAATGCTGTTTTCTTCTCCATCTTTTACTAGCCATCCTAAAGGTACAATGGTTTGTTTTTTGTGTTTTTTTTCTCTGGGATATTATCTTACTCTATTTGAATAATTGATTTAAAATTTGAAATCCTTCTGGAGCTGGGTTTATTGATGTACAAAACTCCCATTGACTTTGGCAGCAGCCCCATGTGTAAGTTGACGACAGCTGTGGACTTTAACAATCATCCTGTTGTAATCTACTTTGGTAAAACGTATAACAATCTGATCTAGAGCTTTTTATCTTTTTAAACTCACTAATAATAAAATTTCTAATATCCTGTATTATGGTTCAATCAAGTCATCAAAATGACTTGACTTTCTTAAGAAACAAGTATTGAACTGGGCTTTACCTATGGCACCTGAGAAAATCATGTTAAGCCTAAGAAGTGAAATGATTAAAATGAGGTAGACTATTTAATCTGGCCAAGGGTTAATTTTGAATGCGGTGTTGTAAAAACTTGCTTAAGTTGAGTGACTATATTTGTGTGTATATTTTATTCTAGTTATGCTATTGTTTCATAAACAAAATGAATATTTCAGCCGATGATTTTTATTTACATGGTAGTTAATTATCTTCATTATGTTAATTCTTCTGGTTACAAAGCAGGTGAGAATGTGAGTTTATAGATTAACATGGTCCCTTGCAGGTGTAGTACCACACCAGAAGGAGGGTTCAGGCAAGGTTCTCTATGTCACTGAGTTGTTACCCCCCCATTCAGTGACTTTGGGGTGAAGCCCCTCACTGAGTTATCTCACTGGGCTTTGAATCTCAGGCCAGAAACTTCAGCAGCAGACATTTTTTGCAAGGTATGAAGGAAATTGTAGTTGCTATAATGTCTGTTCTATCAAAGTGCTTGCAAAATGGAGCATGCTAATGCTTGCAAAATCCACTTCTTTCTATCTAAAATACACTGGAAAGTAGGTAGGAGGCATCCTGGTCTTCCCATCCTGTCTACCATTTTCACTTTGCTGAAATTTCATGGGGAGAAAACTAATGGGATTTTGTGGAAGCTACTGAGAAAACTTAGAGGAGACATGGCTGAATCCAGCCACGTGTGATTTTTTTTCCTCATTCAGTCCTACAGGATTGTTCAAAAAATACATGTCAGCAGAGGCTGAAAGCGATGCTGGGCACTGTGTGAGTATCTAGGTAAAGATTTTTCTACTAAGTTTTTCCTATTAAGAGGTTTTCTATACAGGACCTACTTAAGCAACTAGTTTGGGGTGGTTTTTGTAAAGCCAGGTTGGCAGCCCCATCAGAGGTAGTCTTACCTGCAGACAGTGAAAAATACACCATCAATACCTCTGTGTGGCTTTCTGGAATAATCTTATGGTGGCACCCGTTTGCTCCCACTACTTTCATGAGTCCTTCTGCTGAGGACTAGCTCTTTACCCTATCTACATGTGTAATTGCTGATGGAAATCAATGGGAGATTTGTGTTTTTGAAGCCTGCAGGACCACATATAAACAGCACTCTTTTAGTGGGAGGCAGGAGGTACAAAGCAGCCTATCTCCCTTATGCGGGTTACTGGAGGGACACAGGCTGGGCTACAACTTGTCCATGACTGCCTCCCAAAAACCTTGACAGCTGAGAATAGCTACTAGGGATAGGCCAGTGACTTTTGTTTCCTGTATATTGTTTTATGTGTCTTGTAGGTCCCATACCAGGCTCCTCATTCATTCAGCTGCAATATATTCCGATTGTGCGATTCGCTCGTGAGGGCAGAGGAGTTGATGGAGCTTCTTTTGAGGATCTTGTTTATGATGTCTTTCCATGTCTTCCTGTACTGATGCCGTAGCAAAGAATACACAAAAGGGTCTGAAACGACTTTGCTGTAAGCTAAGCACTTGGAAATGATTCCCCAGTGGGAATTGATGTGGACCACAGAGGATAATTCAACAAGTCTGTGGAAAGAGGAAGGTTGAAAGAGTGAATAGTCATGTTAAAAACATCGAGTAACAGCACAATGTAAGTCAATGACCCCCTCAAAACTCCAAATTTTTTCCTGAGCAATTGCAAGAAAACAAAAGAATGCTTATATATTTCTAAGAGTGCGAATCTAAACTTGAGGTCTGTTTCACAAGGATGGGACTACACAGCACTTATCAGAGTGTCTTGTCCTCCAAACTTCAAGGCATCCTTAATTCTGTACATGTAGCTGTACATGTACAGCTATCAAGCTTTCTTAGCCAGTCCAGCTCCTAGAAAAATAAAGGCAAACTGCTGCCTTTAAACAGTTTGCCTGGGTCACAGGAGAGGCACACAAGGAAGAAAAAAATTATCATTGATAGATGGTGTAATATATCTTGAATTTGAAAACTGCTCTGTTTAAATGCCAAACGTATCCATTTGCAGCAAATTTAGCAAGGCAAAAACTTTTAACTCATTAGAGGAGGGCCACAGAGAGGGAAGAGCTTTATATACTCTTCATACCAACAGTAGCATGGACAGTTCACTTCTACTGAGGGTAGTTTTGACAGTGACATATTGATAACTCCATTAAGTTTTCTTTCCCTGTGTCTTTCAGCAACACTGAAGGGCATTTCTGTTCAATCTGTCTGTACAGCTGTTGAGACTCTATTGATTTTTCTAGAGGAGGAACAGCCACATGTGCTGCTAGAGAGCCCCACTATGCAATGGTAAATATGATTTTTGCTGAAACTTTCTCCAGCAGCAGGTGCACTTAAACCTGTCTGGAAAATACTTCAATTGGTAATGTTTCTTCAGACAAAGCACCATTTCCAAGGAGCATTCTGAAGCGCGGTTCCTGCAGCAGCAATGACAGTAGAGCTGGTGCTTCAAGCAGTTTAGAAATTAGGGTATTTTTTTTTCCTCAGGCATTTTATTCTCATTCCATGAACTTTCACTGCATCGCGTTGTTTAAAATAGCACTGGCAGATGGCACGGTCCAGTCATTCGAGCACGAAAGTGGGACTAAGGAGCCTTAATTTGTTGTACCACTGACTACTAGCTTCTGTCTTCTCTCTATGTTCTGGCTTGCCTAGACTGCAAACTCCATGGCAAAAGCCCTGACTCGTCCTAGATAATTGTGCTGGGCTTAGCAACATGGGTCTGCAGCCATTGCTGGGGCTTTAGCCACCCTCGTGGTATTGGTAATTCTAATCCCGAGTGGAGTTTTGGGTGCTTTGTGCTAGCAATGTGATCACTTTGTGTATAACTTCCATTGGAAGCGAGGAGCGCCTGTACAATGATGCTTTTAGGGGTGGTGGCGTCAGCCAAAATACTCTTTGGGCTCACAGATGTGTGAGACATTTGAGGTGACCAGGTTTTATTACATGAAAATACCTGGGAATTGCTCTTGCCCCTCCACAGATGCCGCTTGGCTCAGCTGATCGCTGCTCATTTTATTCTCATTCCATGAACTTTCACTGCATCGCGTTGTTTAAAATAGCACTGGCAGATGGCACGGTCCAGTCATTCGAGCACGAAAGTGGGACTAAGGAGCCTTAATTTGTTACACCACTGACTACTAGCTTCTGTCTTCTATGTTCTGGCTTGCCTAGACTGCAAACTCCATGGCAAAAGCCCTGACTCGTCCTAGATAATTGTGCTGGGCTTAGCAACATGGGTCTGCAGGCAGTGCTGGGGCTTTAGCCACCCTCGTGGTATTGGTAATTCTAATCCCGAGTGGAGTTTTGGGTGCTCTGTGCTAGCAATGTGATCACTTTGTGTATAACTTCCATTGGAAGCGAGGAGTGCCTGTACAGTGATGCTTTTAGGGGTGGTGACTTCAGCCAAAATACTCTTTGGGCTCACAGATATGTGAGACATTTGAGTTGACCAGGTTTTATTACGTGAAAATACCTGGGAATTGCTCTTGCCCCTCCACAGATGCCGCTTGGCTCAGCTGATCGCTGCAAGCAACTCTGAGATACCAAAGAACCACCATCTGTCCCATTTCTTTCGCCTTTCACCTTGACTAAACAAATGCTGTTCTGTCAACCTCTCCTTGTAACTCACTTTTTACAAAGTAGGATTGAAACTCAAACATAATTATCATCTACTCAAGCTGCCAGGGGGTCTCATCTGGTATATTCTCCCTGGTTTAATAAAATGTAGCTTATGACACCCACGTTAATATGCTCTAAAATGAGAATTGACTATTTGGAAATTAATCATCTGCTGAGTCATATTTACTTTGTAATCTACCATGAGCCATCCTTATTGTTATTCTCTGCTTCGTATATTTGGTGCCTTCTTTGCATTTTGAATTTCATCGTGTTGAATCTCATCTGGTAGATTTACTTTTACTGAATGCTTTACAGATGTGAATTTGACTACGTTTAATTAAGTTCAGCAGATGCCTTGAATGACCAAAATATGATAAATTTGTGTCTCAGTCTCTGTCAATCAGTTCTATGAGATGTTAACAATCTCCATTTAAAGCTTATCAGACACTTCAGAGTTGGAAGCCTGGACTTGCAAATTTTACCTTCATTGACTGAGCAACTACAAAACCTACACTTTTATCAACAGAATTGTAAATATTTTCTTTGATTATGTTCATTAAGTTTCCTTGATATTTACATATTTTCCAACTCCTGTTTATTATTTTTATAGTAAATTACATTTGCAGATATCAAGTAGCAAAGAGAGAAATGCTGACAAACCCCAAGCTATGCAATTCTACTTCGTGTACAAACAATTAAATGTCAGTCTTTCAAGACATATCACATACTTTATTGCCTTTGAAAGAGGGTTTTGTTTCTCATTTATGAGGGAGATTATATGCATAGCTTCAATTTTCGTGAAATGTTTCAGCCAAAAAGAAGACATTTTCAGTGAAGGAGCATTAATATTTCAGTGCTACCTGTAAATTAAAATCTACAGTATCAGCTACATAATTCCCTATCTTGCTTTCATAAGCCACTCTTCTCCTGTCTGGTCTTCAACATCTTTTTATTTCAAAGCTATAAGCTGTTTTGCTGTCATGCTTTGTTAATATTTTTATAAACATAATTCTTTAGAGTGTGTCATTTCACATGGTTATCCAATTATTTTATTTCGCTTTCAGTAAACAAATGAGAATGCTGTGTTGAAGATTAAGACCTTGATGCCTTATGCAGAAAACACACACTGAAAACCCTTTATATACGTGTGCAGATAATTGCTACAATAAAATATTTTACTGAACATGTTTACATGCAGATGGGAGGCTGCTACAATGGCAACATATCTGTTGTGCATCGCTTAAACCTAAGAACTTAACTGAATTGCGGAGAAAACTCTGAATAGACCAGAGTCTGAAAAAAATCTAAAATGTCTTGTTGTTCAGGAGTGAACCAAAGCTGGCATTGCGTTTTGGAGCTGATCGATGATGAAGTCCTCACAACAAGACGTTTAGTCCTTTCCCCAAGATTTTGGATCAGCTTTTTAAGCTTGTACAAATACTTCTGTTTGTGTCTAATTCTGCTTTGTTTCTCCCCAGACAGGTCCCGTAGTGTCAGAATTATACCCGAGTTCTTTCTTTTGTGCTAATTATATGAAACGGCTGACCGTGAGTTTGATCTTGATGTTGATTTTACTTTATTTTCACTTTATTTCTTGGTAGACCGAATCTCTTGTATGCTGACTTGTCAGTGAAGAAGCCATATTTTAATTATTGCTCCTTGATACCAAAATGGCATTGCAGTGATCTTTAGCTGATTTACCCTCAGCCAGTTTTGCCTCTTAAGTGGTGGATATATTACAACTGGCCATCTTCTGTGAGGAAGCAGACTTTGGGGCTCTTGTAGCTGATCTTGCACATCCCTTGTAGCAAATCTTACAAACAATTGCTTTTAGCCATTGCTGTTCCCCAGAGCTGTCTGGCTTGTACCAAAAGGTTTTTCTATCCAGGAGAAAAATAACTGTACCTCACATGAGCTGAGGCTTTTGATGAAGACTAGAAGGCCACTTTCTTTGAATACGTTAACCTAAGATTGCATTGGAAAATCATGCAATTATATGCATAGACAAGCAAGAACATAATCAGCAGAGGAATTCTGAGCTTGCTTGTTTACCCAAGCAGAATCTTCATGTAACCAGTCCAAAACCACAGTTTGTTTACCCCTTGTCCCCCAGAGATGATACAAGAGAATTTTAATCTTCTTCTGCCTGTTCCACCATTCTCCTCCATAACCTGAAGGCTTGCAGCTATGAACTTCTTTTTGATATTACTTTAGGATTTTTCATTTAAGGCCAATTTCCTCACACATTGACAACACTTATTAACTTACATGAGCAAAGTTCTGCATTTCAGTATGAAATGCCTGGAGTTGGAAATTAATATTAAAAATCAGTATGACTTATTTTAATTTTTCTGATGAAAAAGCTCCTTGGGGAAAATAGGTTTTGAATAATGTTATTTAATCACATAATGATAAATATAGCAAAAGAAGAGATGCGTACTAATAGAATTTTTACAAAACAAGGAACAAGATTTGCCTATAAACGTGTAATATGGGGTAATACATCTGTCATACTGGTGCAGTGGAAACACTGAATTAAGAATCAGATTCTACTGATACACTACTTAAGGTCAGTCACTGAATTAATTAGAAGGGTGTTTTCTTTATAGAAGATACCTAATATGATTTTTACCCTAATGTAATCATCTGAAAAACTCTGCTTTACCCAGAGAATTTATCTGTCTGGGGTTATAAGCACAAGTCCTTCACTGGGTTATGGAATTGCTGGAGATGACTATTATTTTTTTTTAGTGTGGAAGAAGAAGGATGCTCTTATAGTAAAACCTTGTGATTTGCTGCTTTCAGGCCTCAATTCATGAAGTACTTACAAACATGTTTCATTGAAGCCTATTGCTGATTAGAGCTGCCTGTCCAAACGAGGGGCTGAGCAATACACTTCAGCGGCTGTCTCCTCTTCACTGCCTTCAACTGCAATTGATTGCCTCTAGCTCGTGAATGTAAAAGGCTGGATATAGTCCAGAAAATAATAGTTAGTTACTTAAGCTCAGAAGTCTCCTAATCCCCTTGACTTCAACACCCTCAGCTGTGTGTGGGAGGCACAATAATGCACGACCCCAAGTACCCATCCCTGAGGAGCAGCGTCCAGCAAGGTCTCTCAAGTAGCTAAAGAGGGACTTCCCCGTGGTTTCTTGTGCAGGGATTCCCCCAGATGTCTGAGGGCTGAAAAAGCCAGGAAAGTGACAGCCTGGCACATCTGGGCAGTGCCCAACCCTTCATGCATTCATTCTTCATGCATTCAGGACCCTACACCTTGACTCTTCTCGTAGGTTCTCTCTGAGGCAAAGCTGTGAGTCCTCAAATGACTAAAGACTCAGGAACATTTAACTGATCCTCGTACAGACTAAAGGGAGGAAGCTCAAGACTTTTCTAACCCCTCTTCTGTATCTTAAGGCTACTGGGACACAAATTGGGATGCCACAGAGTTAAGAGGAGGTGGCGCCTGAATGCTGGGCTGAGATGCCTATGGAGGAACACAAAAATCCTTCTGACAGTCCCGGTTAGAGCACTTGGTGTCACTCAGGATGGAGCTGCCAGCAATTCTGTGACTGTGACGATTCTTATTAAGTTCAGAGACCCAACATAAAATGAAATTCAATCATTTGCAGTGAGACAAATACTTTAATATTTTATAGCCTGAGAACTAAAGCTAAATGTAAATCCCTTCATCTCTTCCTGGAGCATGGCGTGGAGTGTCTTCTTGTGACTACTAAGTGAAAGTGAAGGTAAATCTAGTAACACTGTTCCAAATGTATTTGCAACATTGTTACAAATAAATAGCATGAATCAATTGGCTATTATTATCATGAACATAAAATCAATGTGACATGCAGGTTTCCATTTTTACCAAGAGACTACAAGACCTTCTTGTGAATCATTTTGTTAGAAACAGAAATTCAGGATATTATACTGAATTGGAAAAACCTGGGGTTGGCTATGTGCCCACTTACATTGAGTTTTAATTCAGCTTTTTCTATGATTTTCTTTACGATGATCTGAGTTTGACTGAAGTCAGCCCCAATAGTATTGGAATAGGAGATATTTTTAAAGTATCTCTTTCTTTCTCTGTTTTGCATAGCAGCATTTCATTTTTTCCAGAGTCTTTTAATAAGGAATGCAAGTTGTAAATTTCCTTCAACAACTAGATAACACTTTTCTGGATAGACTCACTTTCTAATACTTTGTGTTTCATAGGAGTAATTTTGTGTTTCCCACAGGGGCCATTTCCAAAGATAAGCTGGTAGATAGACAGGCTCTTGACCATAAATCACAAGAAATTTTTTTTAGCTATGAGCCAGAACAGCTTTGATATTTGATGTTTATGACTAATAAACTCTATCCAGTCAGACAAAACTATCATTTAAGTCTGTGGACCATGTTCTCACCTCAGATGGATCTCATCGACCAGATTTTTACAGTCTGACTTACTCAGACAAGTTTCTTGCCCAGCAGATCGTCCCCTAAACCAGGGAGGCAATCTGAGGAGTAAGTGACTACTTGACCTGAAAAAGTCTGCAAAATCCTGTGGACTGATTTCCTAAATCATTCTCATGCCACCAACATATCGGTTGGGCTGACTGAACAGAGTCTGGTCCACGGGCTCCATCAGGATCGTATCCAATAAGAGCTGTGACATTTTACACAGGTTTTGTTAGCTCAGTAAACGCATTCTCTGTGAAAGGAGGGGAAACAGTGCACAAAATGTTCACAGGAGACTTGAATCATTTTCTGGTTCAGTGTGCCCTACTTCTCCGAGTTAAGAGTGCATCTCAGTAGTCTTTTCCAGTATGTAGGATCGCACTTACCTTGTAATTACATAAGGTGCAAAACAAAGTATAAAAGTACCAATAAAGGTACTTATTTTCTTTGTTGCTCGCTGCCTCCGTCGCTTTTGTTCTTCTAGACAGCGCTCTCTTACACTGTGTGACATTCAACACAAACAAGAACATGAATCATAATATCAGGTAGCAGATTTTAATGGCTTTACTTATGGAATGATGAAAATCAATTGTACCATTAAGTGCTGTATTCACATAAGTCAGTTCTAGGTGCACTGCATTTATATGGGACAGTGCTAACTAGTAATGCATCGTATGATCATCTTACCCTCCAAAAACAATTGCTAAGAAATACATTTTTATATACTTATATACACACACCCCCATTATATTTATAAATAGTCAAATTGGTGGAACTCAGCCTTAAATTCAGTTACAGCTCCTTTTTGAATTACTGTAAGCTATATTTGCAGGCCAGAGTTTGCCTTATGATATTCAGAGATTTGGAAAATATCCAGCGTGGGGTAGGCAGCATGCTTCTTCCCTAGAAACAGCAATATATAACACTTCTATCTTAGATAGGAGAAACTTCCCAGCAAGATAAGCAATAAAACACAGTAAAAACATACCGGGAAAAAACATGCTCTGAACATTCAGCCCAAGGTTGAAACAACCAGTATATCCCATGGCTGTGAATCCTGTGGCAGTAAATCTTTCAGCTCCCTGTGCAGCTCTGCACGGCCACGGTGCCAAATGCTCTACAAAGCCAGGAACTGTATAACAAACCCACAACACCTCAAACCAGCCTTGTTCCCGACTAAACAGATGCATATTATTCACACCCTGATTTTTTTTTCCTACCTGGGGCATTTTAGGACAAGAGCTTCTCCTTTGAGTTTCCCAGTGGTGGTCTTTCCAGGCCACCAGAGAGTTGCAAAGACCCTTGGTGTGCCAGCAAGGTGATGGGAGCATGGGTCTGAGACCACACTTCCACTACGGGAAATCCCCTTTGAGATCAGCACATTTGCTTGACAAAAAAAAGTGATTACATGAAAACCCATCCTCTTTCTCTGGGGACATCTTATTGCAGCCTTTCAATACTTAAAGAGGGCCTATGAGATGGAGATGAACTTTTTAACAGGGCCTGTTACTATAGGACAAGGAGGAATGGTTTTAAACAAAAAGACAGTAGATTTAGGCTAGATATAAAGAGGAAATTATTTACGATCAGCATGGTGAAACACTAGCACAGGCTGCCCAGACAGGTCGTTGATACCCCATCCCCGGAAACATTCAAAGTCAGGTTGGACAGGGCTCTGAGCAACCAGGTAGGTTGGATGGACAGCACTGGTTGTGTTTCCCAGAGCCCCAGGGCCACCTGTACCTGAACTAGTCCCTTAAGGAAAGAGCAAACCCAAAGCCAGAGTTCACTCCTGAAGCCCCTCTCCATGCACACAGCATCTCTGCTATGTGTTGCCTTGTTGCACAGGTCTCATGGTAAAGTGATCCCATTTCTTGGGCAGACAATGGTCTGGTCCATGTGTTCCATTTTGTAACTGCTTGGCCTTGGTCTCTCTGGTTTTATTGCAAATTTGTAATTGATGACTCACTCTCAGGTTCCACACCCACATATGTTAATAGCTGTGAGGTTTATGGCCATACCCTGACGTTGTTTGCTGTAACTGCAAATGTTTGATCATCATCTAAAGATGTGCTACATCCTGAGGATCTCAGTGTGCTTCAGTAATCTCTGTGGCAGTGAGTTCTTATGTTACCTTTCATTGCATTAAAGAAAACATGTCTCCTTTGATCCGTTTTATACATGGTCGTACACTGCCAATCCCCAGAGCAGCTACCAAGATGGCAAAATGAACAAAATGATGCAGGAAAAGGTTCTTCTGCTTGAAATAACAAATCATCTCGCTCTTAACGAATATGCCTAAGCAGAAGGAAAACAGATCTAAAAGTGTTACATGTTCTGAGTTATTTGCAGCAAGAAATGACGGCTGAGAAGGAAAAAAAAAATATCCACCTTTTCAAGGGAACCTATGTGCTTTCTGTTCTGCAAGAGCTGGAGAACTTGCAGTATTTTTAGATGCAGACAGATCATCTTAGAGGTTGAACAGTTTTGTTTAAGACCCGTGTTATTAAATTCATAGTATTCCAGGCACACGACAATATAGGAAAAGAAATCTCCAAAGTAAGTTCAATTAGGGTGATGTTAGGGTGTGGAGTGTGGTGCATTTGTTGTCTCTAACAGTTTACCCAGTTATATCTTTTCTCTACTGGCACATACAGAGCTGTCTCTGACTCCTGGAGCTCACACATGACTTGTGAAATCCAGATAGACTTGAACCAATTTCTTTTTTTCAGCCTTTCCAGATGTAGCTAATAAATACCACATCACAGAGGAAGGTATTTTATCTCATTCCTTTGTATAGACAATGTACACAGATGGGTATTTTGCTTTTGCACACACTTTTATGCACTAAGATAAGAACATATATGCAAGTTCCAGTAGTGACACTAGTAATAGAACTGGATTATCGACTAAGCTTTCATTTAAAGATTATAATATCCTGGAAAATCTGAGATATATATCCCCTTGAAGATCTGGTATGTTCGTGAGATACTGGACCTTAAGATCTGTAAAGCTGGATACACCAAAAAGATAGTATAGATAATTTGAGTGAGGAAACACACGGGTTAAGGACTTAAGTGAAGTCTTGCCCAAACCTCTCATGATACCTAAGATGCCTTGGTCTTAAGAACAAAGTCAAGAAAAAGCAACATCCAGTAAAAACGCTTAAGCTAACTCGAAAGGACATGTGCCCCAAACATTCACACGATTTTGTGTGGTATTTAGAGGTTTCCTTTGTACTTGTCTTGAATGATCTTCAGAAGATCACTCGTGTCTTTCCAAGTCACAGGTAATAAAGCCATCTGTCTTAACGCCTGTCACTAGACCCCCCTCGCGGGTGGATTCTGAGTCATAGGAAGCACAAAATTGTCCGTACACATTTCTCAGTGTTAAAACTAGACCGTGCAAACAGCCAGAAAAGTCAGGGTAGTCTAAGGTGTGATTACAAACTTTGTGCTCTCGTGTGCCTTCTCCCAGCATCCCTGTCTGTGTTGGCAGGTACTATAGGAAACACTGAAATTGCATGTATATATACCACTTATATAATTCAAACGAAGCCTCTGTTATGTCAGAGCTTTATGAATGTCACTGACTGCTCCAGGAAACCTGCAGCCTTTGTGTCTTTCTCACAGAAGGGAGGGCAAGCCGAGGTCTGACCCTTTCAGCAGCGGTGGCTGTCACTAGTTAAGGCAGTACCACCATAGGTCAAATCAGACACCATTTCTGTAGTCTAGAAAAGAAGCTAAAACTCTCCTTTTTTAGAGAAAGGCATCAGAATAACCTGATCCAAGAAATAAATAATGGTTAGTAACACAGGTTACTCTCAGCAAAGTGCCTATACCACTGGCTCCTCTGAAGAAAGCATGTATCATTCCCACACCCCCATTGAATCCACCCCTTGGTAAAATGATCAAAAAATGCTGTAACAGCCTCAAATTAAATCTAGACCAGAAAAAAATGCAGAAGAGGAAAAATACCATTGGTATTTTTGCGCTTTCTCCAAGCTTTACTGTGCGGTCCAGGCATACTTTAAGCTTTAGACATAACAGTTGCTATTTCAGATAGCCCCAGTGGGTCTGTGGCACTTGCCCTGGGAGTAACCACCACATCTCATGGGGTGTGCACAAACCAGGACCAGTCGAGGCACAGTTTAGCAAGCAACCAGACAGCACGTAGGGATAAAGGGTGTTTTTCCCTCTACATGTCTTGGTGGATAAGGGAAGATTTATACATGTGTTTCTCAAGAACAGTAAAGGGACTTGCCCAAAGATCTGATCCACATTCTTGATCAAGAGACAGATCAAACAGCTTAACTGGAGAATTCTGAGCAAAATGTTTCTGTTCCTCTAACAGTGTGCTGTCCTGCCCTGATCCTGTCAGACTTATTTGCCTCAGGCTTAGGAATCCCCAAAGTATGACCTTTTTTTTGAGGACAGCCACATGTGCTTTCAGTCCCGCAGCTCTGCTCCTGGCTGGCTGCAAACGGAGAGATGGAGTTTGCCTCCAGCTCACACAGTGAGGGACAGCAAGGGGGGGCCGGATAGGAGGTCTGACATGGGGCTGCCCCTCTTCAACTGCTCTCAGCTTTCTTCTCTTCCAGGCAGACTTCTTCCCCCGTATCAGACACCTCCCTGCGCTGCCAGCATTTGTCTGAAAGACATTTCCCTTCCTTCTCTGACAGGGACAGTCTGAGCCCTGAGATCCAGTCTCCAGCTGTCTCCCAAACAGCACACACATCCCCTGCAGCTGCTCACCCTACCTCACAAAACCACTTTCTTCTTCTTTTCCAGGCAAATACACCAGATTCTTCCTTTTCCTATCACCTGCTCCAGCCACGTTAAACCCGGAGCCGAACTAGTTCCTCTGAGCAAACCAGGCTGATTTCTTTCCACGCTGTGTCCAGTGCCTCTGTTTTCCCTTTTGAGAGCTCCCTTGTTGACTCTCCCACCTCATCCCAGTCATAGCTGGTTCTCAGACCCATCCATCCCAGTCATAGCTGGGTCTCAGACCCATCCACCCCAGCTCATCAGAGCCTCTCAGCCAGGAGATGCTGACCCTGTCCCACTCCATCCTGTCTCAGCTATACAAGTTCATTCTGGCTTGTCCTGCTGTTCCCCTCTCACCAGCCCGGTCCCACGTCCTTCCAGTCATTCTTGTTTCAGTCCTCTCCTTTTCCTCCTCTCCACTTTTCATGGGCAGAGCCACCTCGTACTCACAGCACACACTGAATTCCTCCTCCCCCAGGCACCTTCCCCAGCTCCTCGCCAGGACCTCTGCCTGTCCAGCACTGCCCTTGGGCTTCCATCCAACAAGGCTTTCTCTCCTTCAGCTTTACCACTACGCTTCCCTTACTGACCCAGGGAAAACTCTCTCCCACCCTCCCTCCTCCAGCCAAATCTGCATCCCTTCCAGCTCCAGACACAGCCTATTCAGGCAAGATTTATAGTTTGTGCATAATCCCTGACGTGACTCCTTTGTGCAGCACCCTGGCATACATCTGTACCCATCCGGTGCTTGCTGTCAAACCCATTATCCTCCGAGCCCCCAGAGACTTTTCTCCTCCTGTGTCTCAGCACAAGGGGCTTGTTTAAAGACTTTCATTTGAAATGAACTTCATACATCCCTCGCTTGTCACACTAGAGTTGCTACTGAAGTCTCTCTGGCTTGGATTTAAGTACAGGCATTCCAGCGTCTGCGTTTCGCAGATGTTATTCCCTTACAGTTCTGCCTCCAGGAAAGACAAAGTTAGGGAGAGCACAGCCACAGGGACACTGCCGGGAGAAGGAGCAGCGTGCAGTGCCCAGCTTCCCTCCTCAACTCCCAGTCAAGGGACATGTGCAGCCTCAGCCTGCTCCCTCTCAGCCATCCCACAAGGTTTTTTGGCTGACAGCACCAGAAAATGCAAATCTGTCAGCCGCTAAATCCACCTTCTGAGACAAAGGGCAGGGAGCTGATCACTGTCTCAAAGGGAAGTGCATGCTCAGCCAAAACTGCCTGTTTCTTCACTCTCCCTCCCAAAACGAGTCCTTAAGCATTAATAACAAAAAAGAGTTGCTTCTACAACCAGAAAAATAAACAGAAGTAAAAAGAAACATGCAGAATAGAAACTGACAAGAAGGATGCTCGTTTTCTCCCCCTCCCCATCCCCTGCTGTGACACAGAACAGACTGTATTTAACATAACACTGAACCCCTCCTGGTTTCCTGTGCCATGAATAGTCTCCCTGAACACACAGGCACCTTACCTGGGATGGATGTCCACAAGCAGCACCAGGGTCTGCATAGTGATCACGTCAATCCGCTTACAGTGGAACCGTGCCACCTTCAGCACTTTTAGATATGTGAAACACAGGACTATAAGGGAGAGGAGGAAGCTGAGGCTGTGAAAGACCCCCGTGAAAATCACAAACTGTGTCCTATCCTCTGGTCTCTTGTTGTACAGGGTGCAGGAGGCATAGAGGTGATGGAAACCCACCCAGGAGAGAGAAGCTGCCACTATCGGGAACGACACCGAGTGTAACCACGTGTAGCTCAGTATGAGCGCAGCATCTCTGTACCTCATTTTGGAGTGATAACTTAGAGGGAAGACCACAGCAATCCACCTGTCAATGCTCAAAGCTGCCATGCTCAACATGGAGTTGGTGGTGAGAAAAGTCTCCAGGAAGCCCACAATGTGGCAGATCTGGTCTCCTCCTGGTTGACTCTTGTAAATGATCCCAGCCAAAGTCAGGGGCATGTTCGAAACAGTCATCAACAGGTTGCAGAAGGTGAGGTTGAGGATGAACAATCCCGGGACCTGCTTGCGGATGTCAGCGCTGTACAGGAAGCACATCAGCACCAGCACGTTGGCCAGCAGGGCCACGAGCATCAGCACCACCACCACGAAAGCCAGGATCACCTCCCAGATGCTCATGGTGCGTCCAGTCACAGGAGGGACATCTCCGAAACTGCGCCGCGCCGGCACCCGGGGAACATGGTGCGAGGCGCGCTCACCTCGCCCTCCTCCCCAGCCTGCTCGCACTCTTGCATGCCCCTCCGTATTTTTAGAAGAGCTGCAGGTTTTTTTTCTCCAACCTCCCCCTCCTCGCTGCTCCTTTCCACGTCAACGCTTTCCGAGACGTGCACAAAAGCACTGGGAATGCCCATCAAACTGCAAGGAGGGCTTAAAAAATATCAGCAGGACTGAACCACTGTCTCCATTCGGTCCATTCAAAGGAGAGCAGGTTATTCCGAGAAACTGCTCTCCTGAGATCCCTAATTATCAGCCCCAAGCTCGCAAGCAATTCACCGAGTGAATTGTGCTCTTTCTCTCTTGCTTTCTGTCTCCTCTCTCTCTCTCTCGCTCTCTTTCTCTCCCCTCCCCTCTCCTCCAACCCTCACTCCCTTCCAGGCTGAATGTAACCTGCTTTTTATGATCACAGATAAAAACCCCATTAATGGATTAAAGCATGTACACTGCTGGTGATTCGCAAACGTGATTATGTCATCCCCCTTCCACAACCCCTCCCCTTCTCCTTGCGACTGTGACTAGACTTTCCTCAAGAGAAATCCCATGCTTTCATTTAATTGATTTAGGCATTAATTTGCAAACAGTTGGGTAACCGAATTCCTGCACTCCAGCGTGTTTCCTACATTTCAGTGCATCACTTTCACAGTTGCTGCTTGCTCTCAGCCAGGGCAGGGGCTTTCTTTTCTCTGCATTAGCTGCACTCAATAAGATAGGGAAAAATTGATATATTCTGCTGCTTCTCCAGAGCTGTCATTAGGCTACTGGAATGGTTTTACTGCTCCAGTTTAGCCCTTTGCAGTCCTGTGTCTCCAAGCACCATGCGTAGGAGGAAAATGATTGTCTCCCTTCCTCCTTTCAAAGCAGGGAAGCCAAAGCCCCAAACGCCGCTGTAAGATGCCCAAGGTCACAGAGCAGGTGAGTGGCAGGAGCAGCAACGTGCTGCCCGTCTCAATCCTCACTCGAGCTTTCTCCCCTTCAACAGCCTTCGATTCTTCAGTCAAAGCCTCCCTCCCTGTGAGGGTGAGCACCCCGGGAGATCAAAACCAAGCAGCAGCTTGGCAAAGGCAACAGGAAGGAGTCTGCACTGCACATAATCAGGTGTTAAAATTAAGTTTGTTTTGAAGGATGGAGTGGGAACCGTTTTCTGATTGCCTTTCCTGTCCCTTTAAAACAGCTTTAACTGGAGATGCCGAGAGGTTGTGAGCAATGGGGACAGCTTCTCATCAAGGCAGCCAAGCTTTAATCCCTGCACAATAAGGAGGCAAAAGATACCCTGCAGCAGAGTTATTGTGGCTTTACTAAGTGCCTGGGCACGTGTGCGAGAGCTGGATGCTCAGGAGGATTTTCCCTGCGCTCCCAGCCCTTGGCAGAGCCCTGCACGCTCGATTTACAGCAGCTCCTCGTGGCAGAGGCTGGGGCTCACCCCCTGGGCAGCAGAGCTCTCACCCCACACGGTGTCACAGCTTCCCATCTCATAGCAAGGACCTTTCTCTCCTACTTCTGTTTTCTTAAACCAGGCTTTGATGGGCTGAAAACAAAGGGGATTCACTTTACAAGTCAGACCACCGTCAGCAAAGGCAGTTGGGACTCTCCGGGACAGTTTGGCCGGGGACACACACCCCACAGGGGAGGAGCAGCTCAGGGTGCAGAGCCCAGGTCTGTCCCTGAGCTCTGTCAGCTCCCTGTCTCCAGAACACCCATAGAATCAGGGAATGGTTTGGGTGGGAAGGGACCTTAAAGGCCATCTAGATCCAACCCCCTGCCCTGGGCAGGGACACCTCCCACCAGACCAGGTTGCTCCAAGCCCCCTCCAACCTGGCCTTGAACCCCTCCAGGGATAGGGCTTCTCTGGGCAACCTGGGCCAGGCTCTCACCACCCGCACAGGAAAGAATTTCTTCCCCAGATTTCATCTAAATCTCCCCTCTTTCAGTTTAAAACCATTCCCCCATATCCTATAACTCCACTCCCTGATGAAGAGTCCCTCCCCATCTCTCCTGGAGCCCCTTTAGGGACTGGAAGGGGCTCTAAGGTCTCCCTGGAACCTTCTCTTCTCCAGGCTGAACCCCCCCAACTCTCTCAGCCCTGACTTCATAACACAGGTGCTCCAGCTCCATGTCCTCATGCTGGGTGGATGTGAAGCAGCACTTCAGTGTCTGGTCTCTTCCTGCAGTGGGGACCTAAAGCCACCTGAGAAAAGCCTAAAAGTGACCCTTTCTCTAAACAAGAGGGCCCTTTACCCTCTCAGGAGAGGTATACTAAGGAGATGGGAGGGAAGATGCAGACCTTGCTCTGTGGCAGCAGAACCTCAACAACTTTCCTTCTTGGGTAAGAAACAACACGCCTGGCTGAGAAAGATGTCCCGGCATCAATAGCCTGAGCAGGGTGTCCATGTTACAGTCCCTTCCATGATACCAGCTTAAAGGTCAGCAAGTAAAGAGAGCTGCAGGCCCCCAGGAAGAAGCTATGTGAGTTGGGAGACACCAAGAGAAATGGGGAAGTTTGTAAAGATGTGGCAAGACTTAACATAAGACTAGGAAGGACAAGGAAAAAGGAAGGGAAAGCATGGTGAGATATGGGAAGCAGGTGCTCTGTGACAGTGGTGGTGGGGAAGATCCTACCTCCTCAGTGTCAAGGTGATATCTGGTTCCTCCTTCCCATGCTCAGCCTCCTCCTGGGCTCAAATAAACACTGCAAGGCCCCCAGCTGCACAAATCATTCACAGCCCAGCAGCACAGGCACTGGGTAAATTAGCCATTTATCTTGCCATGCAACACAGGAGGTGATAGGTTTATCAGGATGGGCTAGGTGTTTCAGTGGATTTTCCATGAGGGGGTCAATGTGGAGCTGAGGTGGAGGAAACAGTTGACAAATGGTAATGGTGGATGTATCTTGAAGGGCAGGAGAGACCAGCAGGACTGTGGACTGGCTCTGCTGGGTCTCCTTACTGGGGAGTGGGGAAGCACACAGGAGTGAAGAGCTGCAGGACTGTCTAGAGGAGACCCACTGTCTCTTCTGAGTGGTGTCTGAGCTCCTTCCTCCAAGACCTGAAGTCTCCCCTTCCTCCACCTATCTCTTTTTTGTCCCAAATATGGTATTGGAATACCTGTGTGGGAAAGCTAAATGAAAGCAGCAAGTCTGGCCTGTACTTCAGTAATTGTCGGTCTAAATGAATGAAACATTCCTAGTCCTGTGCTTTGCAGTTTACTGATTGCTTTGCCTTTTCCTATCGAGCTACTCCATGTTGTACAAGCTTCTTGGGTAAAGAAAACATCATTATCAGTAAAGCTAAACTCTCAGAGTTTACAGGAAAAATGAAGCAGCCAAAAAGCGCTTAAATCTACAATCAAGTGAAAAAGGCTTCTAGATTTCAGGAGAATGCTGAAGTTTTCTTTTGACTGATTTGAGTCTCTGCATGTATGTCTAACTCTAAAGGCCCAAGTAATTTACATAATTGATTCCCCTGTTGGTTATCCCTGCAGCTGAGGGTATTTACTGACTGCTTCTGGGTTTACTTATCATGCATAGCTAAGAGAGCATGATGGATCTATCAAATAGCTTCATTTTATACAAATCAGGAGGAAAGAATACGCTGTGCATATTTTATCACTGTAGAGGAAATGCAAGTGTTGCCCGTGAGTTCCTGATGGCAGGGAATGCAAGTTTGGTTTGTAATATTTCAATGAGAGACTACATTCGGAATTAGCAATAAACACTACCAATAAATATCAATTATCACCAGTGAACTCTGACAGTGCTAGGTCTGGGTTTGGAAGGTCAGGCCTCCTTTTGCATTTGCTCCATTATCAAGCACAAAAACCCCCACAGAACATCTATTGTATTTTATATATATTAAATACAGAGTGGACTGTGAAGAAGCCCATCAGATAGAGGAACAGGCTCCTACTGAGAGACCTGTGTCCTCTGTGGCCATGGGGACAGTTCACCAAATCTCTCCCCTCTGTGCTTTGCCCTATGAACTCATGGGGACAAAGGCAGGGTGTTTGTACACAACAGGGCCCTGATCCTGAGCCTAAAGGCCTTAACTTAATCAAATAATGAGTTTTATGCACAAACAAATGGTTCTAGAAGGATTACACAAATCTCTTGCCATTCTTTTACAAGGGCCTATAGCTAATGGATTTGTGGCCTAAATACCACATGCATACCAGTTTACCCCGACAGCGATATGATTTGTATTCATATTTTACTGAAAGGAGACATATTGCAACAATATGAAACTCCTTTAGATAACAGGTTAATTTATTACTGTCCATGCAGTCATTTTTATTACATTTTTGTCTTTATTTGGCAATGGACAAAGGCATGAAGCTGATTAAACCTTCAATATTTTGGTTTGACCTTTCAATTTAAAAAATTCTACAACATGTGGATGGAAGATTTGTCTTTTCTGGGATGTTTGTGAAGGGGAAAAAGCTTTCTCTGCACGTTGTCCCACTGAGACAAGACTATGAAAGAACTGCTTGGGATAAACAAAATTTCAAAGTTATGTGCAATGTATCCTATATAGGAGGCTATTTTGATGACCTAACTAAAACATGTAAGGCATTAATTTCATAGGAAACCGGTGTTTAAGGCTTTACACTACTGGGAAAGCTACTTGAAATTGCAACCTGAAAATCCATTTGAGGTCCGATGCATTTCCTGTGTACTGAGAGCTGTAGCTCTCCAGTTTTTTTGTCAAATTTTGGGATCTCAGTTTCATGATTTCAGTGTACTGAGAGCTGTAGCTCTCCAGTTTTTCTCTGTCAAATTTTGGAATCTCAGTTTCATGATTTTGCTGCACTTTCCTTTTCCTGTTGTCTCACCTTCCTCCTTTGATCAGCGGTGTACAAACTTTGCAGGACTTTAATGAGAGGAGTATTGACATGTGGCAGAGATTGTTACTCCTTTATCAGTGTCTTAGCCAGCTCAAAGACAACCAATTTCTGCTGCACTTTCCTTTTCCTGTTGTCTCACCTTCCTCCTTTGATCAGCGGTGTACA